TGCGAACCCGCAACCACCGAGACAGAGAGCGGCCGGGTGCGCGCCCCGCGCGTCCCCGACACACACACGCAGACACACAGAGACATTCTCACACACACAGACACATAAATACACAGAGACACACACACACACACACTCACACAAACACACAAAGACATTCGCACACACAGACACACAGAGATACACACGCACTCATACACCCACTCAGACACTCACAGACACACATACAGAAACACAGACACACACACACTCACACACATGCACACACAGACACACGCACACACACTGAGACACTCTTACACACATGCATACACACAGACACATACACAGACACACACAGAGACACTCTTACACGCGCACACACATACACAGACACACAGACACGCAGACACACACACAGCGACAGACACACACAGCGCTGTTGTGTGCATGCCCTGCAGACCCCCTACATACACACACACTCTCACACAGACACGCTCTCGCTCACACATATACATACACACACAGAGACACAGGCACAGAACTGTGGTGTGCGCACCCCATACAGCCCCCTGCACACTCTCTCACACACACACCCTCTCTCTCTCATACCCTCTCTTCCCCCCCCGACCCTCTCCCGTCGGTCCCTGCTGCCCCCTGCCGGGCCAGCGGCCCCGCTCCCGCCTGCGCGCGGCTGTACCCGGGGGTACCGGGCTGTACAGCCTGCAGGAGACCACTCTGTGTAGGTGAGGGTGCAGATGCTGCTGGGTGTGCACACAGGCGGAGGCACGGGTGCTGAGCACAGCAGTCACTCCAAATACTGTCCCTTGCCACCCACCACTGAGGAGGCCATGTTATGCCTGGCACAGAGGAGGGAAACAAGTCCCTGCAAAGGTGTTAACCCCTGTGTGGTCCCCAGACCAAACCCTCCAGCCCCACAGTGCCAATAAATGATATTTCCAGCCTGCTCTGGGGTGCAGTGACTTGGTTTGGGACAGGGGACAGAGACTGGGACCCTGCAGGTCCCTGCCCCTCTGAGTGGCAGTGCTTGGAGGAGGATGGAGGTGAAAATCACCTCCAGGACTTTCCTTCTCACATGGTTGGCATCACCCAAACACCTCCATGGCTTCACCTGGTCCCACCCTGGAGCTCTGCAGTGTCAGGGGATGACACCATTGAGCAGCAGGAGCCAGTGCAGGGCAGTGGTCAGCTGGGTCCTCCTGCCAGAGCCACTGGGACTGGGGGGCTGGTGACCCTGTGGGTTGCCAGTGACCCTGTGGGTTGCCCAGGGCCGTGGCAAGAGCCCATCCCAAGAGGACAGGGTGTGAGGCTGATGGCATGGACATGACAGGACAGTGCCCAGGTGCCAACACAGCTCTCCAGCACTCCCAGTCCGTACTGTGTGGCTGTGGGGGCCAAGCAGCAAGCTGGGCAGCCATACAGCAGAGGACGGTGCCCACAGGGCGACTGGCTTCATCCTACCAGCTGCTGTTGGGAGGCTAACAAGGGGGACATGTCCAGGGCCCATCAGGGAGCAGGACTGGTGACAGGCAGGCACCGAGGAGCTGAAGGACTCCTCTCCTGGCTTCCCCATCAGTTGCCTTCACACTGCTGGGGCTGATGCCAGATGGACATGCTGCCCTGTGCAGGCAGAGCCTGTGCTGCCCAAGGACACAGGGAGCCTCTGGCTCAGCAGGAAAAAGCATCTCCCAGCCTGAAGCAGGTGTGGGACCTACAGGGGAACCCCAGCTCTGCAGGTTGGTGTTGATGTCAGGGTGAACAGCAATGGATTGTGAGGGGAAACTGAGGCACGCTGAGGTTTACTTTGAGAAGCCCAGGCTGTGTCCTGGGAGAGTTGCCCATCTGCTCTGGGACAGCCAAGACATGCCAGCAGTGGTGACTGACTGGTAATGAAGACAGAGCTATGCCCAGCACACAGCACGGCATCTGCCCTCTGCTCTGGGGTCTGGATGCCTTCATCTCAACAGCACCATCCCTTCACCCCAACTGCTCGTGCTCCTCCTGAGGCTCCCAAGGTACCAGGGCCACATGACATGCACATGAGGCTCTGTACCCTGGGGGACCTGGCTTGTCATCTGCTGGGATAGGCAAGTTTCAGGTCACCTCATGCTGGTACAGCATCATGGGGATGAGCAGGATATGGCCTGTCTGCTGTCCTGCAAGGATGTGAAGAGCTGGCATTTCTCTTCCTTTGTCCCTGGGTGCCATGTTTGCAAGGACACCCGGGTCAGGGGGACTTCCCACCCTGAGCTGCCGTTTTTTTCTGTGGCTGGACCCTTGCCCACCGAAGCTCCAAGCAGAGAGGGACAGTGACCGTGCTGTGGTGTTGCCGGCCCTATCTTCCTACTCCCACCCTTGTGCCAGCAATGCACAAGCCAGATCTGTCCCCCAATTCAGCTAGAAATCAACACAAGAAAGACCCCCCAGATGCTAGTTTGGGGCAAATCAGCTCCTGTGCAGCCTCAGACCTCAGGAGAGGGTGCAGAGGCACTGCCCCATCACCACAGTATGTCCCCACCATAGTGTTAACCTTCATGTTTGGAGTCCCTGGTGAGCACCTACCTGCCTTGGAAAGTGGCACATTCAGTCTGGCACCTCACTAAAGGGACCAGGAAACTATCATCATTCACCTTGTAACTAATGAACCACATACTTGACACCCCCCTGGCACAGCAGATCCCAGAACCTCATTGGCAACTACCCTGTGCCCCTTCTTCAGGAGCAGGTAGATGCATTTGTGAATACGTGCATGTGTGTAAGGGGGTGTACGTCCTGCCCCAGGGCAGTAAAGCAAGAGAAAGGGATGCAGCAGCTGCCCCTACACCATCCCTGCTCATTGCCTGCATCCCCTTGGGGGGAAGCTGTCTACACCGCCACGTCCCCTGTACAAGACATGCTCAGGCTGCAGCTGGAGCTCAGCAACAGCCATTTCCCTTTTATTAAGTTAACAAATAAATGCCCTGCTGGAGAGCAGGCAAGCAGTATTGATTCAGCAACTCCCCTGGGGCCCATCAGTTTGCTGCATTTTAATATATATTAGGCAAGGAAGAGCCCTCCGTTGCCCAGTTTGACTGGGCTGGGGGCCCTCTGGAACAAGATCCCAGCAAAGAGATGACCTGGGGAGATGGGGCTGCCCCAGTGCTTGGCACCCACACCCCGCCTGGGGCACAGAGGTCTGTAAAGTGAAACCCCTTGGCAGACCCATTCCCAGAGAGGAGTAACCTCAGCTGCTACTTGATACCAGGCAGCAGTGAACAGTGTGCAGACAGCACTGGGCAGCGCTGGCACAGGCATGCAGCAAGCACTGTGCTACCTGCACTCTCCTGGCTGTGCCATCTCTGGCCTGTCCCCCTCAGAGCAGTGGAGATGTCTGTGGGCTAGATGAGACCCTCCCACAGGCTGGGCTAAGCAGTGGGTGCCCACGCCTGAGAGCAGTTGTTTGGAGATACCTGAAGTGACAGAAATTGCACTGCAGTGGCCAACTCTTCTCTTGGCTAGACCCAGGGCTCCTGCACCAACCTGGACATGGTCTCACGCCTCTGCCCCATCCCGTTTCTTACCTAGCTGGGAGAGTGAGCCAAGAAGCCCCCAGGCCTTGCTATGGCACAAAGCCTGTGCCTGCCTGCTGCCCAAGCCCAAGGTAAATCTGCCCAAGCCACTTGTCCTCTTCCCCACAGGACAGGCTTGGCTGCAAGCAGGAGGGATAGGCTCCAGCAGAGCCATCAGGGCGCTGGGTCCAGCTGCTGGGATACCAGGAGACTCCCAGAGCTGGTTGAGGCATGAGCACTTGGGACCAGAGACAGACCTCCCTCAGCATGGGGACTGGAAGCTGCCACATGAATCACTGCCAGCTTTGGTTAAATGTGGTCTCGCATTTGCAGCCCCCTCCACAGGCTGGGCTTGGCAGCAAGCAGCCACTGGCACAGGCTGTGCAGGCAGGGTAGCAGAGGAAGGAGGGGACAGGGGGATCCATGGAGTCACACAGCAGGAACACTTTAATGACTGGTCCAGCTCTTGCAAAACCCTGCTGCCACAGCATTGTCCTGTCCTGCACCAGCATCCTGGAGACCTGGCCCAAAAATCCTCCTGCAGCTGGACAGAGCCCACCAGGACCCCAGGCAGAGAGGGGGAGCAGTGTGGCACTGCTCCAGTAACCCCCTGCAAGCTCCTGAAGGGACCGTGCCTGCTGGGCTGCATCGGCAGGCAGCTCACAGGTGAGTGGCAGCGATGGTCTTTTGGGAGGGGGCTGCGCTGAGCCCTGGGGAGCTGGCTGGTGATGTGGCCAAGGTGTCCTGGGGGGCAGAGCCAGTTTTTGTACCCTGCAGCGTTTCTCTTCCCTTTAGCAGCTCCACAGCTGCTTTCTCCACTTCATCCATCTCCAGCTGGCTGCTGGCCACCATCTCATCCCTGGTCACTGCTACGAAGGATGGGTCATGGGCCAGAGCTGAAAGGCCCCCGGAGATCAGAGCCTGCAGCAGAGGATGGGGTCACAGCCCAATGTGTGCTCAGTCTGTAGAAGTGTCCCTTGCTGCAGGCAGCCCACCCTTGCCTCCTTTTCCCTGCTGCCCTCTGTGCTGGCACATACCTGCTGCTCACCCTCTTAGCTAAGCTTTGCCCTCCAACCTCCCTACTTAGCATGAGCATGGCACCCCTGCCAGCCCCTTTCACTCCCTGGAAGCCCTGCCTTTCCCTCTGCCCTTGCCTTACCTCCTGAATGAGGAAGGTGATGGCTGGGGTGGACGATGTGCTTGGGTCATCGCTTTCACCCTGCTGGTATCCTGAACTGCACGCCGTTCCTGTCACAGTGCCATCCTCTCTGGGCAGCTGCGCAAGAGGAGCAAAAAAAGCTGCAGCCTGGGCTTGGGCAATGCCCATGGAAGATTTCTCCCACATTAATGTGGGGGCTGCAGGTACTATCCCCAGACTGGACACACAGTCCCATCCTGCTGGAACTCCCGGGTCCAGGGCACCACTCACAATGGGACCAGCAGGGCCATGTGGGCAGAGAGAGCTGGGAACCAGCCCTTACCTCCTGCCCTGGCACTTGCAGGCACCGTGGCCAGCCAAGGGCAGCCAGGGGAGTGTGGGAGCAAACTGATACACCCTTTTTTTCTGCCCTGGCTCTGGAGGCAGCCAGGGAGCCAGAGAGATGCTGCTTCGAGCTGTCTCAGCTTCAATGAGCACCACGTGCCTCCAGCAGCAGTGGGATGGGGGCCTGGCTCCTTCCCTGAGCTGATCAGAAAGGAAAGCTTCAGGAAAGCTGGCTTCATGGTGGGGAGCCCTAGAGACCGGCTCCTCCCCAGCATGGCTGCAACAGCCTTTCCCAGGAGTGAGGGAGGTTCATCCATGTCCCCCACATCACTGCCTCTGGACATACATTGCTGTCTTTACCTCCTGGGGGAGAAGGTGCAGCGCTGATGATGTATGACCCCCAGAGGTGGACCCTTGCCTCCTGCTTGGCCTCCGTTGCAGCCTCTCCATAGGTAAGGGGTGGTTGCGTTCTGGGAGAGGGAAAGGTGGGGACATCAGATGGGCACAAGAGCAAGGACACCACTGCCACCCAAAGCTGGGAACGGGTTAACTAGACTGGGGAAACCAAAGGGCTTAGGAGTTCAGGACCAACTGAAGTCCCAGCACCTGCCCACTGCCCTGTGCTGGCTCCTCACTCATGGCTGGGAAGGAGAAGTCCCTGGTTATGGAAACGAACATGCTCTTGTGGCCCTGCTGCCCGGAGGTGGCCAGTCCTCCCCCAGCCCGAGGCACTGGCTCCATGCTCCATCACCCCAGAGGGTGGGAAGGTGGGAGGAGGGTCTCTTGGAGCTGCCCAAACAGGTCCTGCTGTGCTCAGGGCTCTCAGCTAACCCCAAGTTGTTGGGGTCTGTGTCTCCTCCTCCTGCCTGCCAACATCAGCCCCTTCCCCCTCCCTGGCCCTTGGGCTGGTCAAGATCCCCCAGAAGAGGAACAATGCTGAGACTCACCCCACACTGGACGCCTGGATGCTGCTTGCATTGTCTTCGTCAGCATCTCGTCCTCGTACTCCATCCTGGCAAGGGCAGGCAGGTGGGTCAGCCTGAGCAGGGACCACACACTGAGATCAGCTCCACCCAGGGGTGCAGCCCTCCCCACCTTCTCCACCCTAGGGAATGCAGCTGCGGGGGCAGACCAGGAGGGGCACCTGGGATGGATGAACAGGGTGGAGACCCCAAGAAGTAGGATTAAGTACATCCTCTTACACTGGTAACCCTTGTCCTTGTACCTGTGCCCAGGCAGGTGCTGGTGGCCCCTACCTGGGCCTTGGCACTCAGAGACTGGCGGGGAAGGGGGAAGGGTCATTCCTGCAATCCCTGGAGCCTTGCTGTCCACCTCGACCCTCACGGCACTGAGATGAAGGAGTGATGGGAAGGACAAGAAGGGTGCGTAGGGAGTCACACACGCTGATATGCGGAGCCACACACCAGCCCTGGAGCTACCCTGCGTGTTCTGGGGACGTATCTGGGAGTGCCAGGCTGGGGTCTGGGGACCAGCAAGGGGTGTCTGCCCTCCCTGTCCCCTTGCCTGGGCCCTGGCTCACACTCCAAGGGCTGAATTTCTGCACAAAGCTCCTGTGTCCATGGAGCCAGTTCCACGGCCAGCGCTCGATTCCTCCCCCAGTCTGCAGGGACGTCGCTGCTGCAACTCAGCCACTTCTCCAGACCTTACCTGTCCATGAAGAGCCCCTGGGCAAGACCGATGTGCAGCCAGCCACCAGCACAGCCCCACTGGGAGCCACCAGGCACGGCCCAGGTCTGCCCCTCCTCACCTGCCCACGTGAGGCTCACCAGCCCTTACCTCTCCAGCCAGTCATTGCTGTTGGCATTGTTGACGTTGGTGTTGCCTTCCTGGGGGAAGTCATCAAGGAAGACGGGGGAATCAAGGTCCTCACTGCCCACCTCCGTGAACTGCAGGGGCCTCTGGCTGGCCACGTGGGGCTGCAGGGGGCTGCTGGGCTCCAAGAAGCTGTCGATCTGGCCAAACAAGCCACCCGTCCTCTGCAACCAACAGGGAGGGCATCAGGGGAGGCCTGGAGCTCTGGGGCCATTCCCATGGGAGGAGACACACAGAGATGCCCGTGGGAACAGTGGTCTCTCTGCTTGTCTCTCTGCTCGGGCCTTGCAGACTGCACAGTTTCAAAAGCCTCACTGCCCAGGTGGGGAAACTGAGGCACTGAGGGGTGATGGGCACGCAGCAGCACTGGGATGAGAGCCAGGCTGGTGCATGACAAATCCTGCTACCTCTGTGGGATAGCCTGAGCCAGTGGCACCTCTGGACACAGCAGGAGGTGCAACCCTGCAATACCACAGCTGCCCAGGCTGTCTCAAAGACTCCCAGGGAGTGGGAAGTGAATCTGTTCCTGCTCTGGTGATGATGACACCTGAGCTGTCCTGCCTTAGCCTGGCAGAAGGTGTGAATGGCGCCCTGCAAACCTCTGAGTAAACATTCAGCACACTCCTGCCAGGCACATGAGCAGGGTCCTTTTACAGAGGGTAAACTGAGGCAGGGAGCAGGTTGCCCAGGATGACTCAACCAGGATGTCCTAATGCTCGGGGAAAGAAGTGCTGATCCATCCTTCTGGTCCACACTTGGCTTTCATGGTCAGGCTCACCTCTGTGGAGTGTCTTCTAGCTGCTGGTAGCCATGCTGACCCACCACTGACACATCGAAATGGTGGCTGGGTGGGACCACCACCACCAGGGGTGCCCTGAGGGCCGCACTCACCCTGTATATCCCTTCCTCCATAGCAGCCTCCACCATTGCTCTTTCCAGCTCCTCCTCAGCAGTCAGGTCCCCAGAAATGGCCCGATGAATTTCAGGAGCAGCTTCTTCTTCAATGCTCCTCAGCCCAGCCTGGTGGGGACAAGAAGGCATGGCTGGATGTGGCCTGGCCCCACCACCCCTCTTACTTTGGTCTTTGGAGAGGAAAACATGACGAAGCATGCTCACCTGGTAAGCCATGCTGCCCTGCCAGGTCTCCTACCAGGGACAGGCCATGGGTCGCCCTGCGACTGGCTGGCTCTGTGCTTGTTGAAACAGCTTCTGGGCTAATGTTGTCCCACAAGGAGGTATGCTGAGGGCAGCCTGATGAAGGGTCTGGCTGGTGATGCCCAAGGGGTAGCTCTGCCTTTGTCCCTGATCTGGAGGTATCTGATCTGGGCCCTGGCTCTTTTCCTTGGCTTGCACCTTTGGGGCCTGGTCTTTTATCTCTATAAGCGATTTCCTCCCTATAAGGTCAGGAGATGCTGGGGACATCCCAGCTGCTCTGGCCAGGCACATAAATCCTCTCCCATCCCACCCTGACAGTATCCTTCAGGGGTGCTCTGCAGGCTTCTCTGACTGCAGTGGTCCTGCTCAAGTTCAAGCACAGCAACCCCTCTCCATATGATGTTGCACTAGGCAATGAGAGATGATACAGAGAGCATCATGCACACAGAAATATCCACAACACTGCTAAGGTGAGGAAAGGGAGAAGGCCCTGGAATGGAGAAGAGTA